CCTGTCATCTGTCTTCACTCCAAATCATTAAAGAATTTCCTCATCTGAATATTTATCCACTGCATTTTTATTTCTTGTCATGAATCATCATGTCACATTTCTCTAAAGCTTTCAAGTTTCAACCCAATCGCCTAATAATTTTTAGAATGAAACCCCTCAAAAACTACAACTATTTGTGATGCTATAAGGTTTTCATATGATGTTGAATATATAGGATATAATTATATACCTTAGGTGTAGCTATATTCAGTATCTTTGTATTAGAATTGTCCAACACTCTTTTTGTGGAATCTTTTTTAGTGCGATTATTTTATTTTTCTTGTGTGATTTTCAAATTATTACACAAGATTAAGATTTACCTAATGCATAATCATTATAAAATGGTTGCAAGTTGTTATTATCGTCACAAACAAAAAATTGTTGTACCTGATAATATGAGCGTTAATCTCAATGATTATATACTCTGTATAATTTTAGTTTGTATAAAAATGGAGTAACTGTGTATGGAGTATTAAATTGTATTGATTCCACAATATGTAATTGTGTATGGAGTATTTTAGTCGCAAATAATTCAATTGATGTAGTTATTTGTTATATTTTAATTTTTTAATGACAAAGGAAACCTGCAAGTACTATTTGTGAGTGTGCATAGAATAAACCTCATCTTGTGACTTGACCTTAGATTGTCTATAGCTGACTCAAACCAATAAAGTCAATAAGTTACTCCCACGCGAATTAAATTTAATTTGTAATATTATTGTTACAAAGTCAATAATTTGACCAATTTGACTAAAGTTACTCGAAAGCTTTATATTTGTATCTTATGGTAGATGCACATTGCTAAGGGGTATCGAGTGAGTTTAGAGGAGGGGCTATCACAAAATAGAAAGAGCATCTCCCACCACGTGGCCAAAATTTTAAAATAGAAGAAGAACCACGTGGAAATATTGACAAATGACAATCAGGCAGCTGTCTAACAAATACCAAAGGCCAAGTTTAGGAAAGTTGACAGTTGAGAAATTTGCAACTTCTCAAAAAAAAAAAAACAAAAACAAAAAAAAAACAAAAAATAAATAAAATTGCAACAATCAGTCAACAACCTTAATTTTGTGTGATTTTTTTTTTTAATTTTTTTTAAAGATTAAGGAATAATGTTATGACTTATAATGATGTTTAGGTATGTTGTAGATGTAACAATCAAAAATGAAATATGGAATACAAGCTTTATGTTGGGTGGTTTAGGAGGTCAACAGAAATAATTACGTTTTTTATATGTATATTATTTATAATTAAAGTTATTTTATAAGCTATTCATGGGTGTATGGATAAAATGATTTAAGTCTCTTTAAATTTATTAAGAGGTATATATATCATCTTATTTGACATAAATAATATTAGTTTCGATAAATACTGACTAGTCTAAGTATCTTTAATTTTAACACGCCTACTTATAGTGGAACGATCAAGTGTTTCTAAGTAGTTGTATGAGTTGCAACCTAAAGACAAGCTAATTAAAGGCTAAAGTTAAGGAAATAAAGGGAATGGTGATATGGTTAGGTTAGGCAAGAGTTGGTGGGCTATGCGACTAAAAGTAGTGACAATGACTATATATTTTGGGTGCTCCTAATGATTGATAAAAGCTATTTTTGTAAAAATAGAACAATTCATTTGAATTAGTTAGACGATTGACTTGGTAATCACAAAATTTTAAAATTGACTTTTTGTAAGAGATGTATATTGACTTTCTTGATTTGAGTCAATTAATTAGTTTATTATCAGTTTGATCCTTTAATTTGTAGTGCTATATTTGAATGCATAGGACATTTTGTCTAATGAAGTAAATTAACAGGAATGGCCTAAATTAATTAAATCAATTAATTAAAGAGATAAATAAATAGGACACGATATTGGTGAAAAATATAAAGACATTGTATTAATCAATTGTGTAATGAGATTACTATATTGGTGAAAAATATAAAGACATTGTATTAATCAATTGTGTAATGAGATTACTGATTGTATGTCTTAACAAGATAAATAGTGACAATTTATATTCTTCTTAGTCCCGTAACCACCGTTGAGAAAAAGGTAAATAGTTAGGGGTCCCTTGACGAAGTATGCATGCCCCACCCGGCTTCACAGCCAGGCCTAGATCGTAGCTGAGACCAAGCGCTGGGATCAGCCTTAGCCGACTAAGGTCGAACACTGGGCTCGACCCTGGGAACTTCGGGGCCGGTCGAGTTCACATTGTTCCGCTCCATCGAGTTGGTTTGCTCCGGAATCCTCTCTAATATAATTCTCATCATTGTCAATCAATTTTAACACATTATTACGCCTTAATAATGATACCTTTTTATGTATTCTTATAAGAGTTTACCAACTTACAATTATATTAGTAGTTTATTAATTTGACCACTGTGACACATCTCAACTGATCAAAATTTAGTGAGAGTGAGTAAAAATTGGAAGTAGAAATAAGTAATTTCCTATGTACAATGCCGTGCGTATAAAAGGGTGTTTTCTCAATGACATTGACATGTTTTGTGTCTGTTCCTTTTTAGCAGTCTCCAACGATCAAAGTTTGGTCAAAATTTTTGACGAGACCGAGAAAGGCGAACGAGGAAGTTTGAATCAGTTAACTCTGACTTAGTACCAGTCAAGGTTTGAGACATTGAGGGATAAGATGTTACAATTTGCACACAATAATTATGTATAGGAAAACGCTTTTAGATATTGCGGAGTGCTATTATGGGCTTCTTGGCAGCACCGACGGCCGAAAACAACGGACCCAGAATAAATAACGTCCATAACTGTCAGCCCAATACTGATTCAAGATTTGCAGAATGCTTGAATTTATGGTTGTGGATGACAATCTCTTTTAATGTATCTTCTCCCAGAAGGTTGAATCACCAACTCCAAGGGTTTCTTACACCCTGATCCGATAGAATATTTGAGAGAATATAAATTATGGTGACTCAATGACTTAGCAGACATTGCCAAATCTGTTCACTTTGAGCATATTTCCCGCACTGCCGCAACTAAGATTCGAATTTTGATGTCTTTTAATGTATCTGTTTGAGGGTTGTTGGCCTTTTCCTGACGTTGTTAGTGGCGTTTTTTCTTCCCCATAATCTACCACACATAGATAAACAATATAAATCAATACTAACTTCCCGCCATAACTTATGTGTTGGTGAAAGTTGAGTAGCCTCATAAGTCATATCCAATGCGATGAGAGAGTCGCGAGAAGCCCCAAGCTGGTACAATTATTTTTAATTTAATTTTTCATAATGTTAAATTTAGTATTAGTATATAAAATTTATATATTTAGAAATTACATTAATAATACTATTACATATAAAAAACTAAATTTAAACATACTATAAATAATAAAAAAACAAAAAAAACAAAAAACAAAGAAGATAGAGTTTAATTGATCATATAAATAGGTAAAATGAAAACTAGACAAAGACTTTATTATAATTACAATAATTAAGGAAAACGTTACAAACCATGACCATCTAACCTCAGAGTAGTTATGCTGTGCATCCGTATGCACCATCAAAAACGACGTCGTTTTATTAAAAACGCGTGTCTCCCCTTAAAAAAAAAAAAATCAGGTTCGATTCCCAGCAACACATTATGTTGTTCATTCATTATGAAATTTTAGTTCATAGATTATGGAATTTTAGTTCATAGATTATGGAATTATAGTTCATCGATTATGAAATTGTAGTTCATTGATTCTGAAATTTTAGTTCATAGATTATGAAATTTTAGTTCATTCATTCTGAAATTTTTAGTTCATAGATTAGATTCTGGAATTTTAGTTCATCGGTTCTGGAATTATAGTTCATCGATTCTGGAATTATAGTTCATCGATTTTGGAATTTTAGTTCATATGTTGTTGCTGGGAATCGAACCTGATTTTTTTTTTTAAAGGAAAGACGCGCATTTTTAATAAAACGACGTCGTTTTTGCATCCGTATGCACCATTCACAGCATAATTTGCCCTAACCTCGTTGATAAACAAATCCATAATGCTAAAGCAACATTTTGAGACCAAAACAGTCACCTCGAAGGATATGATACATATTTAAGGTGTACAAAACGTTATCATCTCAAGGATAACACATGTTATTTTCTTTCTAATTGATGTTCGAACTTGAAATTTTATTTAAATATATATATATATATATATATTTAATTTGAGAGGAAAAATTAAATAAATTAAAAGCACAAAGATGCACGAAAAAAGCTTATAATTAAAGTGCTGCGAATAAATTATGTGGATGTATGTATATGACAAGCTGCAGCCTGCAGGCTATCAATGAGTGATGAAATCTGAATAGTTAATTTTGTCTCTAATATGACACATAACTATTAATAGCATAGTTATGGAGTGGACATGCAATAGTTTTTTAAACCAATCACACCACCATCTTAATTAATACCCTAATTATGAGGCTAAGACTAAATGATCCACCGTGTAAAAAAGGGACCAAATATATAATTTCCACCATATTCTCCTTCCAAAAGGTTGAATCTCTAACCCCAAGAGTCTCAAAGAACACTTGGGAGGACATAAATATAAATCACGGTAACTCATCAATAACTCAACAAACATGACCAAATGTCGATGTGCACAAGCGATCTCTAAGTTCAAACATTGATTTTTTTTTTTTTTAAATATTGTCAATCAATCCTTCAAGATGAGCACCTCCATCAGTCGAGGAGTTAAGAACGAGGAGACAATTCAGTCAATTTGATCAGAAAGTATGGACAGTCATAAGGTTCCAAATTTATCGCATTATTGAAATTGTTTATTCACTTTTTTAGTTTGAGACGATCAGTTACTTCCTTATAGTTTACTGGTTAGAGTTACAAGGCGAAGTAAAGCACACTTTCATGCACTAAATAGTGACAAAATATTTAGAGGTAAATATATAGTATTTATATATATAAAAACTTTTCCTTTATTCACGCCGCGGTTACTACCGTATCAATCACATGTCCACGCAGGCGAAGAAGATAGCCACTTCTTCTCCATCTTCCATTTTTCAATTCCTCCAACCCGTCAACCTCTCCAAAATGTCTTCCCTCTTCTCTACTTCTCTAATCTCCCATTTGAAGCTCCTGCGTTCTTTCACTCGTTCTCATCCTCTCTACTTCTCATTCTCCATTTTCTTCTTCCTAAAACTCCTCTCCCTTCTCTCCCCGCTTTCCATCGCCGCCGCATCGTTGTTACTCCTTGCCCTTCTCGCCCTCTCTCCCGCCGTCACCATTCGCGACAAGTTTCCGGCCGAAAGCGATAAGGTTAGTGCTCTGATTTCCGTCTCTTTTGATGACGAAAGTGAAAGTGACAATGAGGATGAGCTTTTTGATTTGGGGAATTTCGAAGAGAACAGAATCCTACTGGAGGAATCTCTGATTCGGGTCGGATTCATGGAGGGGAAATCAGTTGATTCAGCAATGGAGGAGGGGAGATTGGAAGACAAAAACGCGGCAAATGACGGCAAATTCGAGGGATGTGGCGCGAAAACCGACGAATTTGTCGGAACTAGAAACGGATCCAAGGCGGCCGACGGGAATCACGACAATGGCGGTGGAGGCAATGCAGAGAGACGGCGGACATTGGAGTACAATCGGAAGGAGAGGGAGTGGAAGAGGACATTGGCCTGCAAGCTGTATGAGGAAAGGAATCAGAGCGGTGAAGGGATGGATTTGCTGTGGGAGACTTACGAAATGGAAACAATGAAGAACGAGGAACGGCAAGGCGACGATTCAAAGGAGAAATATGAAAAGGATAGCGAGGAAGAAGAAGAAGAAGAGATGGATGAGAAGCTGTGTTGTTTGCAGGCATTGAAGTTGTCAGCTGGGAAGATGAATTCGGGAATCGGAAGGCCTAATCTCATGAAGATATCAAAGGCAATCAAAAGGTTTGGATGGCTCAAGAATGTTAGCAAGAAGGTGCACAGGGGAGATATGCACATACAAAAAAAGGTTTCTAATACTAGCTAGTAGTCAATGGTAATTCCCATTTTGTTAGTTTATGGAAATTGATAATAGATTCTTTTTGGTTCGGTAATTCTGGTACTAAATTCAAGTGTATGTCTCTAATTGTCCGCACCGCAAGCTAAGTTGTCTTTAGTAGTAGATTGTAGATAAGAACACATGATTGAGTCTTAACAGATGCAAGATGAAAGTTATACTCAATATGGTAAACTGCGAGTACAGATATTAATCTTTTTACCTAAAAGGTCGTCATCATGTTAGGTTAGGATATGTGGATCCTCCAGATGCAAGATGAAAGTTATACTCAATATGGTAAACTGTAAGTACAGATACTAATCTTTTTACCTAAAAGGTCGTCATCATGTTAGATTAGGATATGTGGATCCTCTGGGCGAACATAATATGGCGGACTCCTTTTGTTTAAGAGGGCGCCATCGTGTTTGATCGAGGTGTGGGAACTCTTGAGACTAGTTAGAGGGATTTTATTTTTTATGGGTAAGTATATGTCTCAAATTATACATGTATTAGCTGCTTGACTTAGTTTAACAATCATATAAGTATTTGATTAATTAGTTTTTTGTAACAGTTTATTGCTCCAAAACGCTAAAATTCAAAAAACTGCTCTTCGATTAACTTTTGAAGAAAATCATTTTCCATGTAATCAACTATATTTACCAAACATTTTTTTACAATAGCTATTACTATCCACCAGTCAAATTTATTAACTCAATTAGCTAATAGCTATTACCAAACACACTTTGTCTTTTATTGAATATTGACAAATATGTCTCAAATTATAAATTTTTGTATTAAAAAAAAAATTAACATCATGGATGAGTGATGCTAACAAGTTCACAATTGGGCCCCACCTTCACACAGTGGCACACTGCTTCTTTATATATGGGAACGGTTTTCTTTCTCCCTCTCATTTCTCTATCGTTTTTGAACTTCAAGCCAGAGAAGAGATAGCAGAAGAAGCGAGAGTAGAAAATGGCGGTTACGACGCCGCTCCGGACCTCCCGCGCGCTAACATTCCGGTCGAGCAGCTTCGCTTCCTCTCTTACTGTCGTACTTTTTCTCTGCTTTATATCTCCGATCTCAAAGCTGTAAGTACTTATGATCAACACTCGCATTTCTCTTCTGATCTCCTCTGGTGTGTGTGTATGTATCTATTAGCGCCTTTCTCGTTTTGTATTTCACTCATCCGTGTGTAATACTTGGCTACTTGCTGTATTTTGCTTTGATTCTGTGATTTGGAGATCCATTTGTTTATCTCTCAGAAGAACTGCGATTTCAACTTTCATCAGCTCCGCGCCATGACTTGCATTTCGCTGTTTCTATTTAATAATTTTAATCAGGAAAAAAAAAACGTGGACATCAAAAATCATGCAGTTGCTAGTTGCTACTAATCGATTTTGCTTTGGTTCTCTGTGATTTTTGTTTTTGATCCATTTGTGCATTCTCAGAAGCACTGCGATTTCAACTTCACCAGCTCCATTGGCATTTCGCTGTTTTTATATAATACACCGTAATTTTAATCAGAAAAAAAAAATGTGGACATGAAAACCCATGCAGTTGCTACTAATTGTTTCTGATATACTGTTGCTTATTTCTTTCACAGTTTTTCATTTGCATTGATTTCTCACGTTACTGATCAATTTTGCCAGTCATTGACGTACGGACATGACTGGGAATGTGGTTAGGGGTTTTCATACAATTGTTATGGATTTGCATTGCTTGGCTATGATGTTGATGGAAGAGTGCATTGTGAATCCAGACAAGTACACAGATGGAGGGAAGCCTACTTCACCAGAGATTGAGGATCCCAAGTTTTACCATTATGCAATTTTCTCTGACAACGTGGTTGCTGCTCCAGTTGTGAATTCAGCAGAGAAGAATTCAACAAAGCCATGGAAGCATGTGTTTCACATTGTGACAGACGAGATGAATCTTGGGGCTATGCAAGTTATGTTCAAGATGAAGGATTATGATGGGGCTCACATCTAAGTGAAGGCTGTTGAGGATTACAAGTTCTTGAACTCTTCTTATGTTCCAGTACTTCGGCAGCTTGAGTATGCACTGAGCAATACCATTACTGGCAGAATCTGGTGAGAAATCTGCTCGTATCCTTCTAAGCTTCTTTAGACACTGGTAGTTTCCTGAGTAGGCCAAACATGACACCTCAATTTTCTACTTTTTGCGCATCCTAATATGTGCCGTGTCTAAATCTGCTTAAGTTGTATAAGTACTTGGCCTCTTTTGTTTCCTTTATCTTCAGTTTTTGTTAAACATTCCATTTATGTTTATAGCGAAAGTGTTAAGACTTCTGATTGTTACGGTGACATTATTTTGTCTCTGGAACTTGTAAGGTTTTTACTCTTGTTGTTTATTTGAATTAACGAGTAATTTTTGTTGAATAAGTCTTTCGTGTAATTTTTTTAGGTAAAATGTAATATTTTTTATGATTGTGTATATAAAAGTATTACTTTTTAACTGAATATTACTCGTCCTAATGCTCATTTTTGTTTGAGAATATCTTGGTTTGTCTTTCCTGCTTTATATGTGCTGTATGGCAACCACCTATGGATTATTTTTATATAATCCTCAATTGTTCATAAAGTATTAAAACATTTTCCTGTCGTTCGGTGCATAATATGTTGGATTCATAATTAAGTAATGTTGTTGTAGTTAGCAGTGTTCTGATCATTTTTTGGTTGAAATCATACAACAAAGACACAAAGGGTGTCTTTCCACTTCTCAGTTTCCTGTCAGCTTGTCTACAAGGGCCGTTTCTATAAGCGTAGAGTAGCAATTTCTAAATGCGTTATTATTCCTTGAAAGAATTTCAATACTTTTAAGAGAACAAAAAAGAGTTTCCTGCATCTGCTTTTACGACCGAAATCTGACTAATCTAAAACAAATCCATCTCCACAATTAAAGGTGACAACAACCCCCGAAAACTGATCCACAATTGCAACGTGGTCCGCAAAATGACGGGAAAACCATCAATTCAATGTGGGGACTTAAATACCTATATGCTACATATAACAGAAGCTACGTCAACTCAACTGCTATCATCCTATACCCATAAGAGGGGAAATAAGAGGAAAAAATAATAATACTACGAAAAAACTCGTGAAACATTATGCCCCTGAAAAAAATAATGGTCATTCATGACAGACACTCAATCTTTTGAATTATTGCAATTCAAAAATATAATCCCTACTTAAATCAGCTCTCATGATCAATCCAAGTATTTTGTTCAAGCAGTAGCAGTTACTCGTGGTGCCATGGTTTTTGCGGTACCATTAGGCATACCACCAGCACGATTCACGCGACCACCGTTGCTTCCAGCATTGTCAACCCTCTGATATGCATCACCTCCACGGTTCAATGGTCCTCCGCGATTCCCACCTCTGTTGTTGAATTCATTCCTGCCATTAAACTCTCCTCTGTTATACCCCCTGCCACCTCCATAATTTCCTCGCCCTCTCACTCCTTCATTTCTGAATCCAGAACCCCTCCCAGGTAAGAACCTTCTATTATTGCTTCCAACTGCAGGAAAAGCCAAAATGCAAATTTCAAGCCGTTAGAAAATAACTACAATTCCACAAACTAGACTACTAGAGTATCAAGATGAATAGCACCCATTTTCAGAAGTTGATGAAACAAATCTCTTAGATATTCTTTATGAGGTTGAAAAACAGTTCTGATTCTTTCTGGCAATTAATGAAACAAGCATTTTCCTTTAGCTAAAGCCCCACATATCAAAAGGAAATGGAAGTGCCAAATACAAGATTTTGAATTCAAGGTATATATGCTTAATCCTGTTCTCCAGAAATGGCAACATAAAGAGAGGGCTGAATAAAGTGGTTCCATCAGTAGACCACTTTTTGATAGGCAAGTTTTACTCCACTTGGTTTAAACCAACTGTAAAGAGTAAGGTAAATGAACAAACTTGCCTCGTGAATTAGTAGACCGCTTCTCCTCAACAACAGCTTGGCGCCCACCAATTGGAATTGGAGAAGCCTATTGTATACAATTAATAGAACAATTAATAGAATTAACAGCCATTAGTTAAAAGACAGCAAATTTAAGTGAAATGATGCACAGGGAAGACAGAAATTCTACAATTCTAAAATATATTTGTAACAAAGATCTTGCAGAATGCTATGTAACCTAAACAGTTTGTTATACACATTGTTGAATATGTATGCAGAACACAAAATCAAATATGTTAAACCACCCTATGGGATTCAAGAACTCAGGAAAAAATCCCATGCATGTAAGCACAGTGTGCATACTAAAAGCACTAGAGAAAGCCAACCACACTACAAATAATATAAGCCATGAGAAACTGCGATCAACTACTGTATGAAAAACAGTTCCCTAAAAATTATTATATTCAACATGTACTCTGCAAAGATCTAAACAATTCAGAATAAGAAACAAGATAAAACACTGATAGCTAATCTGACAAGTGGATACCTCAATTGCTTTTTGCACAGCATTTGCCTCTTCAAATTCCACAAAGCCAAAACAAAATCCCTGTTGCTGTCACAAGCCAACAACAAATTAATATATGGAAAAATTATGGTTAAAAAACATAGATGCATACCCTGTTACTTCTGACTTGAATGCCACCATTCTTGATAGGTCCAAATTTCTTGAACTCTTCAGCAAGAACAGACACAGTAGCAGTCAAAGGCAGCCCCTTGATGTAGATTGAATGGCCATCAGCTGCTGAAAGTATGATATAATAGAGCATGTGTAAGAAAACACCTACGGTTCTGAGAAAAGTTTAGGTGGAACCATCTTAGGAAAAAGATAAAGAAAAATGTGGCAATAGCGTGCCTTCTGGTTCTTGATTATTTATGGCATCAAAAGACCCTGAACTATCTGGACCATTTGCTACTGGGGCTGGAGATTGATTCACTTGCTCTACATTCTTGACTACAGGCTTCCGTGGAGCTGGGGCAGGAGGAGGGGAGAAAGAAGCAGCATTTTCTTTGAGCTCTTGGACCTGAAAACAAATGGCATAATTGTTTAAGAAAATATTCAATGGAAGCCTGACATTCATTAGGTAACCTTTTGTCAGAACCATGATAACCCAAAGAAACTGAACAGATGCAAGTCTATCTATGCTAAAAAAACTTACAAGGAAATGTACTATAAAGCACAGGCAATCAAATAGATATCTATGTCAAAACATCAAAATTATGAAAGTAGTTCAGTTGAAACTGCTCATACACTTACAATTTGAGAATACAATTTCTTGGGCACTTCTTCGACTTTGTTGTTTGATTCAACTGCCACATGTGAATCCTCCTCTACTTCATTAACAACCTCAGCCACAGGAACTTCCTCTTCCACAACAGGCACATCTCCATTCTCAGCAGGGCTGACCACTTCTCCATTTGGTTCCTCTATTGATGCCGTGTTATGCTCCAATACATGATTATCTTGCTCTGGAGGAGGACCTGCAACCAATACGTGGAAACCAAAAAGTTGAATAGCCAATTAAAAGAGCCATAAGCAACAGAATTCTATTTAATTGTTTTAATTACTTGGCTCTGGAGTAGAAGGAACCACTGGAATATGGCTCCTATCATTTTGTTTGATGGTGTCCACATATCGAAACATGTCATTCAATACAAAGTACCCCCGATCTTGTGGTGCAAGAAAGAAAGACTGTGAGAAGTTTCGGATCTCATTATCCGGCCCAGTCAGATACCCAGTAACAAGAACAGATACCCCTCCATCAAAAGATTCTTGGGCATCAATAGACTTAATTTCAGCTCTTAAGTCCGCATAATTAAGAGAGAGTATCTTGTCATTGATTGCCTGCAGATTTTACATCAACACACAAAATAAGTGTTTCAGCCAGATACATGAAATGAACGTCATTTAAAACATCAGATTTCCCATTTAATTGGTAACCATGTTTTGTTCCTCAAATTTTCACAAATAATATTTCTCATTTTCAATTGCTTTGTTGTGATTATCTGCATTCCAAATGCTAAAAGCCCAGGTTTACAAATCACTAGAGGACATTGCATCAATGTACTCAAGTGTGCAACCTATGGCATTCAATAATTGCTTGCTCAAAAAGGGAAAAGATCAGAGTCATTTTTTCTTTCATTCACTAATTAAACACAAACCAGCATAGTGGATGGATATACAAGTCATTGTTTAATTGATAGGTATCTTACAAAGGGAAAAGATTCAAGTCATTGTTTAATTGATAGGTATCTTATCAATTAAACAGATGCTGTGATATTTGCCAGCATTTTTACATACATAATGATGTAACTAAGTTCTCAAATCCAAAAGAGATGAAAAATTAAGTAACTACAAAAACAAATAAACACAAACCAGCATGGTTGCTGGATATACAGAGAGAAGGGGGCTTACTTGCATTGTGGTAGTGCTGCTCAAGGATCCATCTTCCTCAGGGCGGCCTAGTTTACTTATATCCTGATAAAACCTGAAAACGAGTTCAGGAGAGTGGTGCAGTATATGATAATACTGCTGCACAAACGCGTTGCCCACCTATTACCACCACCAAAACAAAAAGTGTTAGCAGAACGAGCCAAATTATTATTTCCTACAAAGAAGAAAAGAAAAAACACTTACGACTTGGGCAGAGACCGCCGGTTGCGCCGCCACCTCTGGAGCTGCTACTGTCGCCATCGCCACTCGATCTCAACTAACAAGCTGCCTGCGAAAACTGTAGCACAATAAAAAGCGACGCCTCAAAACCCTAGACTCACGATATCAAAGTAGTAAGCTACTCTACATCAAACGCTAGTGCAAAATACGAACACCTATAAGCGTATATGCATGTATGCAAAAAACTAATGGAGCTTAAGCAGGGAGATCGAAGGATCTGTTGATACCTGAGCTCGAATCGGATCGAGAAAATTAGGCGAAGGAGAGGAAAGTGAGCTGTGCGGATTGCGTCTCTTCGCTTTTCTACTCTCTCCCACTTGCTTTGCTCGGAGCTCGAGGAATGGCGGTGCAGGGAGGTTGTATCTAGGGTTTTTGCAAGCGGGATCTTGAAGAGGCGCGAGAGTGACCCAGTTGCTGACTGGATTATCGTTTTTATACTGCCACAATCACGCAATCTCTCTCTTTTCTTTCCCTTCTTTTGGATTTTTTTTTAAAAAAAAACAAATTATTTAAAACTAATAATTCTAAAAATTAAAAAAACTAATAATTCTAAAGTATTTTCTCTACTTACCGTGAAAATAGTTCACATAAACAAATAAATAAATGACATTTTTTGTGTAAATATCAAAAAAAAAAAAAAAAAAAAAAAAAAAAAAAAAAAAAAAAAAACTCATCACAATTGCTTGTATGCGAGTGGGTAAAACATGATTTTCGTACTAAAATATCACGAGTTAAATTTTTGCCAACACTCTCTTAGTCGAGTCCGTAATACGTGATTTTCTTAATGTAATTTTCTTTTCTTGTGTAGTTTGTGTGCTATTATAAAGGAGATGAGTTTACTGTGTGCACACCATAATTATGGGTTTTTTAATGATTAAAAAAAGAGAGAAAAAAATTAACATTTATGATAAATTAATTTTACATTTGAAAACTATCTCTTTTTTTCTTGCCCACAATTTATATTTCATATTCCTTAAAATATCTATCTCGATACATGCCGTTGAAAAACTGATTATTTATGAATTGGATTTTAAGCGTTCCAACTTCCAAATCTAATTAACTATAAAAATAAATGTTCTCAATATCTAATTAACTGTATAAAAAATAAATGAACTCATTATTATATACTTGGAAACTATATAAGGGAAATCCGCATTCAAAAGAAAAAATATAAGGGAAATCCATGAATTTGTTGAGTGATTACGTGGAAACTCTATGATTTTGTAGTTGATTTTTATATACGAAATTATTCTCTCACTTTTTCTTTTTTTTTTTTGAATATACGAAATATATTTTTACAGTTCTAAAAGTAGTAATATTATTGTCATATTAATATTAACTTGATGGTTTTGTCCGAGTATAAAGGTACAAAACGGAGCGTTATGCCCTGAACCCGTGTTTACTATGTGCATGGTGGACACGCTGTATATTCATAATTTTTATACTGTAAATTTATAATTTCTATACTGTAAATTCATAATTTTTATACTGTAGATTTATAAAATTTATAATGTAGATTCATAATTTCTATACGGCACATTCATAATTTCTGTACTGTAGATTCATAATTTTTATACTGTAGATTCATAAAATTTATAATGTAGATTCATAATTTCTATACTACACATTCATAATTTCTGTATTGTAGATTCATAATTTGATAATTATGTGTTCATAATTTGATAACTATACATTTTAGAAATTATGAATCTACATTACAGAAATTATGAATCTACAATACAGAAATTATGAATGTGCAGACTGACTGCAGTATAGAAATTGTGAATCTGAGTAAATACCAGCCAAGGTCCCTCGAGTTTGGTGGTTTCACCACCTATGGTCCCTAACTTCCGTAATTATCATCCATGGTCCTCCGAGTTGCAAAATTCGACCGGCTGCCATCCTCCCGTAAGTTTATGCCGTTTAAGCCGTCCAAATGGGGTTAGAAAGGTCATTTGGCATATACCCCTCTTATTCTCCTTCATGATCCTCCTCCTTGCGAACATTCTTGAGCTTTATACTCAGCCGCCTCCCATCACCTCCATCAAACTACATCTGACCCTTCTTGATTATTGTTGCCTCTGGCAACTGATCCTCTAACTCTTCCACCATTGAAACAAACCCCAGCTACTAGTAAACAGATCGATGAGATGATGGGTATGTATGTGAAACGATAGATGATCAAGAAAGTGAGGCCGGGATGAAGAGAGTACATCTGCAGAAGTAGCTAAAGTACCTACATACATACAATCCGGCAGCTGATCAATCACTAAGAAATTAAAAACAAAACTTTGTGCGGTGAAGAATGAAATTGAAATTGAAATTGAAATACGATTCAAGCAGGATGAAATTGAAATACGGATTCAAGCCAAAGAACGATAATTTGTGTGGTGAAGGATGAAATTGAAGCAGGGAAAGATGGAATTGAAATATAGATGAAGGATAATTTGTGGGTGAAAGACGATGAAATTGAAATTGAAATTGAAATTGAAATACGGATTCAAGTAGGATGAAATTGAAATAGGGTTGTTACTCGCCTGAAACACTTCGTCCTCATCCGCATCTCGAAGAAACTCATTTCCAACCACCATAATATGATCCAACCATCCAAATTGAATGTTTTCAGATTTCGTCCATCACTGTCTCCTCTATGGATTTTAGTTTTGGAAAAGACCTATGGATTTCTCAAGGTCTGAGCATGGCGGAGGAGCACAAATACCAATTGCCCGAGGCCACCGCCTGTGCGCCAACAATTGCATCTTTTTCGAAAGCCCGGCGACGCAGAATTACTGCTCCAAATGCTACCGGGACATCTGCCTCAAGGGCGCCCAATCGAAACCTAGATAATTTGTGTGGTGATCTCCAACTGCGTGAAATTCTTGCTACCTTGCTCGGAAGCTTGCCGGAGTGGTCTCCTCCCAGCGTAATCTCACTTTCTCGCAGTGGTCTCGTCGCAATAGAACCGCCTCCAAGCTCCCCGTGACGTCGCCGATGAACTCCACTGTCTACGGCCTTCAAGTTCGTCGCCGACTGCCTGCTTCGCTGCCTCAGTCGCTCACCGACAAACGGTACTCCTCCTCCGATCTGGAAAGTAGAATGTCGATCATTGCTTTGTTTGTTTTTTTTTTTGTATGTTTTGTTTTATGGGAAATGACATATTTACCCTTATTTTTGACGGCTTAAACGACATAAACTAACGGGAGGATGGCAGCCGGTCGGATTTTGCAACTCGGAGGACCATGGATGATAATTACAGAAGTTAGGGACCATAGGTGGTGAAACCACCAAATTCAAGGGACCTTGGCTGGTATTTACTCTTGTGAATCTACATTATAAATTTTATTAATCTACAGTTTAGAAATTATGAATGTACAGTATAGAAATTACGAATGTAAAGCGTGTCCACTATGCACATGGTGGACACGGGTCCATAGCATAATTTGCCGTACAAAACCGGGTAGGAAAATAGTAGTATTATTGCTCGATGTGCTATGCAAAAGAGTGTGTATACAGTCCGAGATACTGGTTCAATATGACAGTCCAAATAATAGATAAATAATACAAGCTATAGCTCAAAGAATGGACTAAGAATAATATCAGACCAAGGCAGATTAAGTGAACCAATTGATGCTTTCTAGAGGGAGACAAGACACCATATTAATATTGTGGCAATTTATATCCTACACCACTGCGTGCGTTGCACTATGCTCCCAGATGCAAAACGACGTCGTTTTAATTATTTTTTTTTTGAAATTTCCCGCCCCAGTGAATGGCAGTAGCTTTTTCTTTAAAAAAAAAAACCCCGCTGTTCAAGAATGTACATAATGTTATACTAGAATACACATAATGTTATACATGAATGTACATAATTATATAACAAAATATACATACTCTTTTTAAAAGATAATACACATAATCTAACATAATACATAATAAACATAAACTTTTAACATAATACACATCAACTCTTAACATAATACACACAAATTTTCTGATTCGGATGTACATAATTGTATAAAAAGAATGTACATAATTATATAAAAAATACACATAACTGTATGAACCAATACACATAACGTTGTGAACAAATACACATAATCTCAGCAACTTCCTACCGCGCCTCCCAACACTACCCCAAAACGACGTCGTTTTGGGAGGCGCGCGGCGCACAGTGCTATGTGCGCCGTGGTGTAGGATATAACGATTGTAATATTGTTGAAGAACTCACGAATGGTTGACAAATGTGTAGCATCGGGCAACTTTCATTTTTTGCCACACACGTGTCCCCCCACTACTTTGCTTACAACGTACTTTCCATGCATAAGTGGAACTTCATGTCTTTTAGTATACAAGATCTTGAGAGGTTTGGAACAGTCAAAGTACTTACAAGGTACCTACTATAACATTTTGTTCAATTTAGTCCTTATATATTTATTTTGTTCAATTTAGTCCATGTGCTTTAAAAAAAGTATTGCAATTAAGGATAATAGTTAACGGTGTTAATATTACAGTCAATTTAAGTTACATGGCGCTGGCGATATTTATAATCCTACTCATATATTACTTTATAAGTATTTAAAATTAATTATTTTTACCACCAATATATTAAATTAGTATGTCTAAAATAAATAATTACAACCATGTTCCTAATGAGATTTGGACAATTGTCCTTAGTTTCACAAATTTTTAAAGTAGATGAACTAAATCAAACATAATAAATATACAAGGACTAAATTGAACAAAACATTATAGTACAATGACTTCATAAGTACTTTGAGCGGTTTGGAACTCATGTTGTTATCCTCGAGGTCATGAGTCCGAACATTGCTGGTAGCACCTCCATCATTTAATATTTTACTCCAAGCTTTACTATCTTCTAGCAATAAAGATTGACACATTGCTTAAGCCAAGAGCCCAAGACTTCTCCAATAAAACGGGTCCTATGACTTCATCATAACTAATTAGAAAATGTTATGTGACAAAAATGTTCATTTTTTAAAAATAACATGTTGAAGAAAAATAAAACAAATTTGTTTGCATATATATATATATATATATATATATATATATATATATATATATATATATATATTTTGTACTCTCTTATTCAAATAAGTTATTCAGCATGTGCACTTTGTGATGCGACGCGATGACAAGAAAGAGAGCAACCCCCCCTCCACTCACCCCCACCCCCACCCAACAGGTCAATAGCCCTATGAGATGTGGAGGGGAGCGTGGACACGTCATGTCGCCATATCTATGTTTCCTTGCCTACATTTTCATGGAAATTACGGAGTACTATTTATTTATGGATTAATATTTAATGCACTGGCACTGTATGATATCTATGTACTGACGATTCATTACAAAGTGATACGTCATTAAAAAATAATTACAAAATTTAAAGAAACCTCTTTTTTTTTTCGTTTGTAAATACGGAGTAAATCATAACATTTAATTAAATATAGTTTAACTAAAATTAAACATATTTATTTAAACTAACATTTTTAAACGCAACCATTGAAATTTTCATTGTATTGCAACTTTCACAAAGCTTCCTGGAGTTATAGAAATCAACTAAGTCTACGTATTGAAAATATTATTTGAAATCCTAAATTTTACTTATAACTTTTACTCATTACATATCAACATTGTTTTTGTAAACTACATAATGAAAATAACTTATCATAAAAATGGGGAAATAGAGATTTAGAATTCATGTAGTAAAACTCATGTATTTCACACTTTACTTTCTTAGCTTCTTCCTTTTTTCTCCAACATCTTCTTTTATTTATTTATTCTCGATTTCAAATATATTGAAGAATGTTGATGATTAAAGCATTAATAATTACAAAAAATAAAAATAAAAATGCAAAGGTATGGTTGTATTGCTTCAATGGGAATCACAGTTATGTATATTTGTTTTCATAATTATCCAAAAGCATTCCATCAAAATACTCCGTTACACACATTCATATGTAGGCATCTCAAAATTATGAAATGCGCATCGTTTGAGGAAAATAAAAGTGGCCAAGGTGGAACAAAGATGCATGAGAGGTTTTTAGGGGACAAATGAGATATATTAAGTAGGGTTTGGGACTTTAGTAAAGAGAATTAGAGTTCTTATATTAAATTAATTAATAAATATATTTAGTTTCAAATTATAATTTATTTGAAAATAAAGGTTTATTTATTTCATAATGGGGTAGGGGTCAAATAGGCCATCGAAGTACACCTTAAAATGCAATTAGGTCATTAAACTCAAAAAAACATGCAATTGAGTTTCTAAACTAATCAATTTTATGCAATTAATCTAATTTGCAGGTTTTTCAAGTTTCTAACAGACCACCTCAAATAATTCTTGTATAACGGATGGATAATAGTTTTATTGTATTTAATCTACACAATCATGAATGAATGTATGATATACAATTATACATACATGATGACACGTATATCTATTCACCAATAAACTTTTCTTTGAAATATTTAATATGAATAAAAAAAATTACTCCCTTGTCCCATTTTATGTGACATGTTCGGTTAACGAGGCTTGACTGAAGTTATTTACAATTTAATTTTTTATAATATTAAGTTTAAAATTAGTATGTAAAATTTATATATTTAGAAACTACAAGTACTATTAAACACAAAAAATCAAATTTAAAAATCATAAGAAAATGCTAACAGAAATAAACAAAGAAAAAATAGTTGGTTTGACCTATAAATAGTAAGTAGAACAGATAAAATGGGACAGATGAATTGATTTATTGAGATTATGTAATCTGTAGTATTTCGTGGCGGATTTTATCCACAAAAGGGGGAAAACGAAATAAATACTTGTGCCATTTCTATGTTGTTGAGCTGAAACAGCGGGGTAGGTAGGTAGTGGTAAACAATAAACAAACTACAAGTAAAGTAATTTACCATAATGTCATAGGCAACTTGGTAATTTTGCTCAAAAGCCAAGTGGCATTTCCACGTCCTATATTTTCGTCTGCTTCGATCCTATCGAACTGTTTTCTTCTCCTTTTCTCACCATATAAACGGCAAATGACAACGCACAGTGCTATTATGTAAGCGAGCCAGCGCTTACAATGACGATGCTTCGAGGGGCATTTTCGGCATGCAACCTCACCGCCATTGATTCTCACCCGCAACTTCAATGCCGATCTCCCAATCTCAATTTCACTAACTCGCGCGCCGCCGTTGGCCGCCGGAGCGTGGTTGTTTCCTGCTATGCTCCGATGAATGGTCCGGCGCTGGCGGTCGCCACCGAGGAGCGGAAGAGCCAGCAGCAGGTGCCGGTGGCGTTTGAGCCGAGCCTCGCGGACCGGCTCCGCCTCGGGAGCTTGACGGAGGACGGCTTGTCTTACAAGGAGAAGTTCATTGTTCGGTGCTATGAGGTTGGGATTAACAAAACCGCCACTGTTGAAACCATCGCTAATCTATTGCAGGTACTCTTTCAGCTTTTTCTCCCTTTTTCAAGTGAATGAACTTCGATTTTAGGGATAATGATTGCTACTTTTGTACACTAATCTGGATTTAAGTTTTCAATGGATGTCATTTTGTTATTTTTTGTTGGATTTTAGCTGTAAACTTTTTGGATTCCTTCAGTTTTTTACTCTATTCTGTAATGTAGACAACTACTGCAAAAATCCCGCCTAGCCTAGCACCGATTATCGGATGCGCCTTGCTAACCGGCCGCCTAGCGTATCACCATAATCGGCTGGCCGACTAGGCCGCTGCCTAGGCACCGACTATATCGCAAGTGGACCGATTAACTATTGTTCCCTTCTCTTTTAAATTAGTTATTAGTTATTTCCATCAAAACGATATTTTTTAGTGAAATAATCATAAATTGTTCACTAGATGTTTTTTTAAGTTAATATTTAATATTTTAGTATTAACTATTAAATTATTAAATAGTTTATAATTATTAAGTCTTAAAAAATTTAAAAATTTTAAACAAATTTTAAAAAATAAAAAATAAAATAAAAATACACGGGCGCTTAAGGGCCGCCTAGGCGCTCCCAAGCGCTCGAGGAGTGCCTATCGATTTTTTCAACCATTTACAGGGCGTTTGGTTGGAGGGGGGAATTATGTGGGAAAGGAATTGTAATTCCATGGGAGTTGAATTACTGAGAATAAAGTGGGAATTTAAATTCCAGTGTTTGGTTGATAGGAATAGAATTACTGGGAATTTCAATTCCAATGTTTGGTATACATGGGAATTGAAAGGGAATAAGTAGTATAAAGTCAAAAATGTCCATTATTGTTGTTAGACATTAATTTTAGGTTAAAAAAGGAAGGGGTAATTTTGACTCATCACTATCTTTTTTTCCCAGGAATTAAAATACCAGGGGGGACATGAGATTTTAATTCCATGAAAATGGGGGAATTGCAATTCCATGGAATTGTAATTCCCTCCAACCAAACTACGGAATTTAATGGCCTTTGGAATTAGGTGAGAATTAAGTGGGAAGGGAATTTAAAATCCCTCCAACCAAACGCCCGGTTAGTGATTTACATATGTTAAGTGTTCTTTTGGAATATGATGGACCTTAGCTACTACCTGAAGGTTGCACTGTAAACCTCGCTTTATGACCCTAGAGAGCAAAGAATCACAAGATGAGCCTAACTAGTAAATGATCACAATGAGATAAATTGGTTTAAGTTGCCCATAGCTGACGGGGGCTCAAACCATGAAGGCAAATAGACCGCTCTCACTGAGAGTTGAACTTGGAACCTTGTGATTACCGAGCCTAACCAACTTGGCTAGGATTGGTCCTACATCTGTTAAGTGTTGGTACTTCATAATGGAATGGTTCAATTTTTACTGTGTGAGCTAAGATGATACTCTGTTTAAGTTTATGCACTGCTAGGATTATATATGATTCATGTATTGGTTCTCCAATTATGATATGCTTCCCTAGAGAGTGTTATTTTCTCAAAAATTTTGTTGTGTAGGAGGTTGGATGCAACCATGCTCAGAGTGTTGGGTTTTCAACAGATGGTTTTGCAACCACACATACCATGAGAAAACTGCATCTGATATGGGTCACTGCACGAATGCATATTGAGATCTATAAATACCCTGCTTGGTAATACTCCATTTTATTTCTAAGTAATTGTGATTGCTATATACGGAGTACTATTTTTGGTGACAACCATGATATGAATTGCGTGCATTACGCACAGGAGTGATGTAATTGAGATAGAGACTTGGTGCCAGAATGAGGGAAGAATTGGGACTAGACGGGATTGGATTCTGAAGGACTATGCAAATGGTGAAGTCATTGGAAGGGCTACCAGGTGCGCTTGAGAAAAGATATACGAAATATCAATAAGTATAACATTTTTGAACCTTGATCTATTACAGACTATGGAGTATATAACATTCGTTTGCACTTGAAATTTGAATAAGCTGATAGATTGCTCAGTAGTTTTTATTTGGCGGTCCTAGTTTGAAATGTAATTCCTTGGGGGAAACAGACCTTTCTTTCATGATGAAAATTGAGCAAGTATCACCACTGAGCAACTACGTTTTTCAATTGTGATTTACAAAGCTTGAACCTTTTTACTATCTAAAATCATGGTTTCAGATCTCATCTCTTCAGACAATTGCATCAAACTCCTTTTCCAATTACTTGCACTCATAGACATTGAAGAATATTTAAATCCTCTAATTGCAGCAAGTGGGTGATGATGAACGAGGACACTAGACGGCTTCAGAAAGTCACTGATGATGTGCGCAATGAATATGTAATTTACTGCCCCAAAACACTAAGGTAGAGTTATAGTTACTGTACTATCTCTTGCGTCCTTCACTCTATCCTTCCTTGGGTGGGCATGTATTCCCGCCTTTTAAAGAGCAATATCTATTTAAATTCCCCCCGGTTTGTGTACTGTAGTGATGTCAACAAGTACATATCTTTATTGTTCTTTTGCTGTTGATGCTAGGTTAGCTTTCCCTGAGGCAAACAATGGCAGTCTAAAGAAGATAGCTAAGCTGGAGGATCCATCTGAGTATTCCCGACTGGGACTGGTGGTAAGTAGTATCAGTTTGAAAATAAAAACGTCCCGGTAAACTTCCATTCTCAGATACTTACATATTTAGTGATTTTGGCAGCCAAGAAGAGCCGATTTGGATATGAACCGACATGTAAATAATGTCACCTACATTGGATGGGTCCTTGAGGTTTGTTGCCTTGTACTTTAATGCAGCTTCTTTCTTGGAATTATTTGATATTTCAAAGTGTCCCATCACATTTAAATTCAGAGTGTGTACTTCTCTGCAATAAAAATGAACCTTTTTACCCGTCCACAACATTTCACTCCTTATCATAGCTGAGCAATTCAAACCAAAAGGCTAATATAAGTTGCTCCCACTGGTTACCAAGCCCAACAATTTGACCAACTTGGTTGAGATTGTTAGTTGTCCCCAAACACAATGTTGTTTTACTTCATGGTCAAAGAGTTGTACTTTGATTTAGCATTACTCATTTACTCTTTCCCAATGGTTACATTTGTAAGAACCAAACAAGATCAGAGACACATGTTTGTATTGTGCCCTTCTAACTTAGTTGCTTCAATAGCCTTTAAGCTTCATGGTTTTACTGACACAAATAATCTTCATTGCAGAGCGTGCCTCAAGAAATCATGGACACACACGAGCTACAAACCATCACATTAGATTACAGGCGCGAATGCCAGCAAGATGATGTGGTTGACTCCCTCACAAGCCTTGAACTGGTGGACAATGCAGCTTCAGCTTCTTCAGTACTAAACGGAACAAATGGATCGCCCACCACTATGGACAATCTAAACAAGTGCTTCTTACATTTATTGAGATTATCTGGCAGCGGGTTAGAAATAAACAGGAGTCGCACTGAATGGAGAAGGAAGCCTGCCCAACTATTATAAACCTATCATATAGAGTCAGTTCTCAGTTCTCTTGGAGAAGACTTCATCTTACTGTTCTTTAATTTCTTCTCCAAAAGTTCCTCAATCCTCATACCCTATGTTGTGTAAAAGTTTTGAAACTATAACCTTCTGTCAAGTGTAGAATGACTAGTACAAGGAGTTAAACTGGCTGAGATGTTAATCTGGCCCTAATTATTATGCCATCTGTGAATTTTATCTGATTTGTGTTCAAATGGACAAATGGTAAAAGTTTGAATGTCAAATTGTGCAAAAAACTTAAAAGTTCAAATATCGAATTGTAAATAAAACCTGTAAACCCTGGCGAGGAGACTGGTGAAGTATCTGATAATACTGCTCCACAAAGGACCACAATCGCATTGCCCACCTATAATCAGCAAAAAATAAATAAAAATCAGTGTTACAAATCGCCATCGCCAATTGATCTTAACTAACAAATCGCCGAAACTGTTACAGTATAAAAGCGGTGACTGAAAACCATAGAATTGCGATATTGAAGAAGAAGAAGAAGAAAGCTACTCTACGACGACGTATGTTAGCGCAAAATACAGACACCTATATGCATGTATGTAATAATTAGGGCGATCGAGCGATCTGTTGGTACCTGAGGTCGAATCGGATCAAACAAAATGGGCGAAAGAGAGTTGACCTAGCTAGCTTGCTTTTCTGCTCTCTCCCGCTTGCTTTACTCGGAGCTCCAGGAATGGCGGTGAAGGGGAAGTTGAACCTTGGGAATTTGAAGAGGCGTGAGAGTGACCGAGATGGTTAACTGGCGAAAGAAGCCAAAAGCCAAAAGAAGGCTGTCATCATCTATGGGAGCTTACACTCACAGTGTTCTTATGGGTAGCGTAGAAGTAGAAGGCTTTAGATATGGAAGTACCAACTACCAAGGTTGAGAATTGAGAAATAAATCAATTTTAGTAATTTTGATACATTTTTCTATTAAATCAAATGAGGAGATACTATTTTAGAGTGTATCAGGACTATGTGGTCTAATGGTACCCGGGTTGGACTTCTATTTGGAAGGTTGTGACTTTGAGTCACCCGGGTTAGACTTCCATTTGGAAGGTTGTGAGTTTGAGCCAACTATGTGGTCTAATGGTACCCGGGTTGGACTTCCATTTGGAAGGTTGTGAGTTTGATCCACCCGGGTTAGACTTCAATTTGGAAGGTTGTGAGTTTGAGCCACCCGGATTAGACTTCCATTTGGAAGGTTGTGAGTTTGAGCCTCAGGAGGCATTATTAGCTCTCTGTGTTTCAGTAGGACACCTAAAATAGGTGGTGAAATATACCAAAATGATTAAACGGCATAACTGTGACTCTTTCAAATAAGAGGTCCAGATATTACTATGTAACAGAATTAAAAGAGTTCTCGTGCTATGAAAATGATAAAGTACTCCACGCAACAGAATTAAAAGAGTTCTCGTGCTATGAAAATGATAAAGTACTCCACGCATGGCATTACATTAAATGTTGTTAATTATATCATATAGGCATGCTCACACACTTGAACTTTCAAGTTTGGGAGGGATGCTCTATTCATCCATAATTTGTTGAATTAGATTGGTGTGAAACCTAATATTCCAAATGGTATATTTGTATATGAGCATTATTTGTAAAGTAGTTGTGGTTAGTTTTTGATAGTTTGCAAGTGTAAAAAATTCCCAAATTTATTCTAATGTCAAAATTACATAATTGCCACCATCAAAATTAAGAAAAGATTACATACAAATTAAATACAACCTCAAAATGAATGAATTGTTACAAAAAGAAAAGAAAAAACACAATTACAGAGGAATCATAAATCCTCTAACTATGCAACATAACACCTTCACCAACCTAACTACACATTCAATGAAGAAATGGAAGCCCACACTTTCTTCTTATCTATCTACCACCATGGAAAGCAACATTTCTGGAAAAAACAAAAGGAAATGGAGCGGATTAAATAGCGGTAAAACATAAATAATGAACTCTTTATATGAGATTTTGTGATTAATTATATTTGTTTGTAAAAATGTGATAGTGATTTTTATACCTGAGCACGTTTTTCTTGCTTTTGCGTATTGTACGATGATCGGCTAGGCGTCCCAGGTATATCTGTAGAATTATCTAGGCGTTTTGCTTCTCGCACTCTGTTAAAAATCTCGGTGTAATTCTCTGCTGATTGAGGATTGACATCGTCCCACCCTCCAAACTTTGGAATTGCAGCTCTATCGGGCTATACAATCAGAAGAAAATTTGGTAAATATAAATTAATAATAAGACTATGGTTAATATCATAGTTTTTTCAAAAATAGGCATCCAATAAAACTCACACTTTCTGGCTTTAGCCGGGATTTGCCAATACCGCCATGGCTACTATCATAAGACCTTCCCGGAGTATCGAAGCTATTGTCATGAGACGGACTACTTCTCCCGGGAGCTAGCTTTGCCCGGTGCTGCGGGTGGAGGGGCGACTTCTCGAAGCTGTGATCGGAGCCGCCGCTTTGCCGGCGGCGTCCGCCGGAATTTGATCCGCGGCCTCTGGAGCTCATATTACCGTTATTCCTGGCTAAATGATTAGAGAATTGCTGGAAACCACCATCTTCCCTACGCTCATTCGTTTGCCTAACGCCGCCGCGCCGGACTGGTTCCTCCGGCGGCAGGGTTCTAGGTTTGGACGGGGCCGCGCTCTGATACATCTCGGGATCGTTTGGATTTATCGCCTTCCCACCTTTATATTTCCTTGCCTGATCGAAGTAGACCGTGTATGGCTCCTGTTCGTTATCCCAGTTTCCAAATTTTGGGACAGTCGGACGCTGCATTGCAAGTTTCGTTCATTAATTACATTCAATTCTTCCACTGATAACACGATCAAAGGCACAGAGAGAACAGAAATCGTAAAGATTAAATATACAGGAGTTGACTTACAGCAGCCATTTTTTCCTTGCCGACCAGGTGTTTGTGAAAAGTACTGAAACCCAGAAACAGTGACAGAGAAGGACTATATATGATCTTCAAGAAATCAAACTCTCAACTGAAATTCAGAGAATGGGAGTGATGAAGAACATATACAAAATCGCGAGAGAGAAAGAGAAGCAGAGTTGAATAGAGGAGTTCAGCTTGCCCTTATATATATATATACAGTATTAACCAACTAACCATTTGACCATGGGGCTACAGGCTGTAATGGTTGACTAGTCTCCCTTCTTCCCTGCTTAATTCAACATTGATGAATTGTTTCTGATATAAACCAACACTATTATGTTGCTTCTATATTTGATCACTAAGTATCAAATAATCAAAATACATCACATTTTCAGTTCAAAATTATATTAATTTAAACATTTCAACTCTTGAGTCTTAGGTGGTGAAAATATATACTCAGTTATTTTTGTTATAAAGAACTTATGGTGTTACAAGACAATTAACTGACTCAATAACTCAAACAATAAGTTCAATGCAACGGGTACATGAGTCTAATTCAAGACCTTCTTGATCCATTGGTGGAGATCAGTTAAACTTGTATGACCCAGCTACATCTAGTAATTTAAAGAAGTAACATTATCTTAGGCCTATCGCATGGCCTAATGGGATGACCTTTGCAAACTAACCAACCTATGCATGCTCAACAACTAGGAAAGTTACAACCCTTGCAGTTTATTTTTGTACTCTCTTATCCGATAATGTAACTCTATACTCTTACAATCCATCTAATTTACACAATCTTGGATCATCCACATTAGTGAATTTTGGACCAATTTTTGAGTGATGTGGATGAGAGAGAATGGCTGAGCTCCTCATGCAAATATTGACTTTTTGTGAGACTCGTCGGAGAGAAAAAGGGAAAGGGAAACACGTGTTGGCGTGCGTGGGGTGCACAAATCGTGCCCACGGTTTTTTTTTTTTTTTTTTGAGTTATGCCAGATATATCTTTTTTACTTTTTTTTTTCTTCTCTTTCTCTCGTCTCTTTCTTAGTTGGCACCTCAAAAACCATCCAAAAAACCTCTCAATACCCCACTTACCACAGTAAATAAAAGCAAGAATTACTCCTATTAACAACGAATCGTCCCTGTGAATTCATTAATTCAACCGGTGAGTATTAACCCTTCTAGGCTGGGGTTCCCGGTCAACGAAGAAACATTCAGCAACTCAACAAGTGTCATCAAACGGTCAACGCTACAGAACATAGGGTGCTTGGTCGTATACTCGTATATACATATAGATGGTAAACGATGAAGCTTTCAACTTGCTGGAAGGATTCAATCATTCAATTGGTAAAAATATTATTAATTAATTAATTTTTTTATTCTCTTCCTAGTACCTGTTTTCCAAAAGGGCGTTTGACTTTTAATCTATGCGTGGCGTACCACGTCCCTATGCTCTCTGACTGACTCAAAGACCTCACAAAATCTTGTAGCCCATTTTTTCTCTGCACATGGGCACCCGAAGTAGTCTTTGAATCTGTAAAAAGTTGTCGCGGCTGATTGCTCCATTTTATAACAAATATACATTATAATGAACTTGTTTGATAATATAGTTAGTTTATCAGTTAATTTTAACTTATTTAATTACTATTAGTTGTTTGACACTTTGACTTTGACTTGGTTAAAGAAAAAATATGAATGTTTATTAATTAGCTTTTTATAACAGTTTATTGCTCTAAAAGGCTAAAATTTAACCGGCTTAAAATAATTTTTTCGATCAACTTTTTGAACTAGTTTTACTAGCGAATAAATTTTTGTTTTATTATTAATATTATTAAAAATTAAAAATATAAATTTGAATAAAAATTGAATAAATATAAACATATAATAACCAACTTACCAGCAACTATTAAGAGTAAATCAAACTACGATGATATCAATAAACTACTCAAAGTCACTTTTTCATTTTCAACTTATTGACGTCAATAAACTAAGTCAAAAAGCTATTTACCAAACACTCATATTAGGTGTTTGGTCAATCAAACAAGTGAGACTTTAATTGATAAGCTATTTTCCAAACACTTTAATATAATCTAAGAATGTGGACAATAATCTCACACATATTACTATTGATAGGGAATATACCCCGATTTTGACCTCCATATACGTCAATGCTCTCGTGCTGTAGTTGGGTCGGGGTCAAACGATTCGGGTCATGGTTAGAGTAAACGGGTCAAAGTCAAATCCGTCAATACTTTAGCCTATATAAAGGGCTTTAGCCCTCCTCTCCTCCTCTCTCTCTCTCTCTCTCTCTCTCTCTCTCCCCCTACTCTCTCTAACACTAAAAAACAACAATGAATAAAAAAGTCTTCGAGCTAATATTCTTGCATGCTACTCACGACTTTACATATACTGTTATACACACTGTCTACACGGGAGTATTTACGATATCAACCATATTCACATTGTTGAAGTTATGTGAAATAACCTGAACCAAACACTCAATTAGTGTATTATGTTGGTTTGTTGTCAGTGTTCAAGATCCTTGGTGTAGGTGTGTAGCATTAATCTTATCATCCACCCAAGATGTTTTGTATCCCCTTTTCTTGTGTGTATAACATATAATATCCCCACCACTGTGAAAATTTAAATTTCAAATTCAATTTACATCAAAACCTATATATAATATTCAATATCACTATCATTGTGAGACTAAATCACATTCAATCTGGTATGAAAGTTCTTTTAACATAATGCATAGATACAAAAATTATCATACAAAAAATCAATCACCTTAAAGTTACTATTTGCATTAATAGTAGACTAGTAGTTCACTTATTAATCCCCCAAATACCAGTGACTCTATGTATTGCTTTATGAGGAAATCAGTAAAATGTACAATCCAGCTCACATGGTAAAAGGCACCAAAAATGAGTAAAATAATAATGATCACTTGCTTAATGGTTGATGGTGGATCCACTACCAGTGATATAAGAGAGTTCTAAAAAAAATGAAAAATAAAATAAAATCCCAGAGAAGTTGCATTACATACTTGTACAGTTAAAATGAATGGGCCCTCTAAAGAGTGAATCACTATAAGCCATCAAAGGAGTAAAAGGATAAGAAGAGCCCCAACTCTCAGCTTTTAGACTCCAATGCCAGAAGTATCTTCTTTCTTGGACCCTGGAACAAACAGAAACATCAAATTTACAGCTGTGGTTTGTAGGAGAAATAAAAAGCTCATAGTGTATTGACTAAGCAATCTTCTAGAAATAACAAAGATTTTGTAAATAGGCACGTGCACCTCCACCTTTATTCTCCTTGTCCCACCCCCACCCCTAAAAAAAGAAGACTAAAACATCATATCTCTAAAACAAGTTACAAGTAGTCATGTCAGTCTGCACTTGGTGGGCTAGGGAGTATTATGGAATAAAGAGGTCAAATTAGCTATCCCTTTGGATAGGGTTTACCAGTTACCACAACATAAGCTCAAAAGACTTAGGTCAGGGAATTTGGATTTTGAAAGTGCATTTCACAATTTGACAAAGAAATCTCAAGTAATTCAAGGTATACGAGGATTTATCACAAAAAGTAAATATATAAGTATATAACATAAAGAATTACAATGTATTATACGAGGCAGATAAAATTTTGGGAGATAAGAAAGCAACATGTCTTTCCTGCTCCAACCAAACAAGGAGCACAATATCTTCCTTCATCACTACTCTAGCAGGCAAGTTAGCTAAGTTATAATACCAAGAGTCCAAGATGTCACTACTCAAATAAGAACAGTTAAACATCTCTTCAAAGAGCTAGAAGAAAGAACTGAAAGCAAAAGGGTGCAGAAGAATAGCTTCTGGCACCCTATTGTGCAAGCATTCCAAGATATTTCAGGTATTACTGTACACTCTCTAACAAAAGACTCCTTTATTCAACTGCCCTCTAGAGCCTATATATCCATGAGATTCTTGGACTCACAAGTCACAATGGGGAAGAATAAAAGCTTCATCCATGGCAGATTATCTTTCAACCTTCTTACTGTTCTTTTTTTCCTAAAATTCATTGTCTAATTTTCTAACAAGATCCACAAATCTATAAAGTAAATTGTGATGATGGTAATATATTCCTATCAGAATAATTCACAGAATGGGCAGAATCTGATAATTTACCATTGGTATTCCCATAGCCTTAAGATCTTCATCAGTCATGTGTATAAGGGCAGCCATGTCAACCTACAAATTTTTTTGGTTAATACTCTGCAGCTAACATCAAATACAGTATAAACAGAAAGGAAGATATAACATACTTCTTCAGCTTGAAATGTAATGGAATATTTCTCAAGACCCAAGGACTGCAGAAAACTATCCATTGATCCAGCCTGCATCAAATTAGTCTAAATTATATGAAAGAATAAACCAACACAATTTGACAAGATTTTTGAAAACTATACACTGAGCTTTAGTGAGCAGCAGTACTACATGGTATTGAAGCACATAACAGACAACCAAAAGGTGAAAAAGAAATGGTAAACAAGTATGGATTAACTCTGAAAGAGCTAAAATTTATAAATAACAGCAATACCAAGAGGAAACATAAGCACAATGTGATAGATGATAAAAGGAAAGAGCAGATGTAGTCCTTTCAGAAGATGAAATGAAAAAGTTGACAGGTCTAATGACTTGGAAGAATGGCAATCCAAAACGCCTACTCTAACCTCATTCTCCTATGTTTATTATGAAATCTAATTCCTTAAGACAAATACTCCATATTAAAACTCGGTCATCTCACAACTGGGAAACTAAGCTAATTTAGTCATTATATCTTTCTTAAAAAGGCAAAACATGATAATTAAATTACAATCTCAGACCAATTTAACTAGAGAATAAGAAGTCATGTAAGGCCAAAAAGACATGAACTGGAAAAATTCACAATAAAATAAATGCATAATGTACGCAGTAATATTCTTGCCTTCTGTTGACTCTTCTTAATATTCTTGTTAGAAACTTTCTTGGTCCCCGATACAGGAGCTTCAGATATGACATTTTTCATAACAGGTTTACTGATCTCAGGTGCATTCTTTGGCTTTGGCAGATCAATCTCCACTCGGGGATGAAATATACCAGAAAGCCTTTCACGTAGATCTGCCTTCCCACTTTGAGAAGCTTGTTGGTTACTTTTCCTCTGCAGCTTCAGACGAAGGTCTGCAGAACCTATTTTTCTTCCTGTCCATTACAACAAGTCAACAGGACAAGGTTAGGCATATAAAATACAAAGAAAAGCTATGCATTGCTCATGCATTCAACAAG